TCTGATAATGAGCTAAGTAAAAAATATACAAGTAGTCATATAGCTCAATAGAAAAAACAACAAACAAGTAAACACTTAAAGTGGGGTAAATGACCTGAACAGACATATTTTCAAAGAAGACAAAGAAAGGGCAAGCAGGTATATGAAAAAGTGTTAGGCATTACTAATGTCAGGGAAGTCCAGTCAGACCCAAAGTGACATGTCATATCATACTCATCATCCAAAAGTCAAATAACAGTAAGTATTGGCAAGGAGAAGAAGAAGCCTGCACTCTTTTGGTGGGATTTTGAATTAGTATATTCATTATTTAAACGGAATGGAGTTCTTCCAAAACCTAAATAAAATTACCAAATGTCCTGACCATCTCACTTCTGGGTATCTATCCAAAAGAAATGAGATATTTATCTCAAAGAGTTATTTGCATAGAAGGTAGAAGTTCCCTGAAGTATTATTCCTAATGGTTAAGAGACAGAATTAATGAACAATGTGTCATCAGATGCTGGAAGAATATAAGATACATTTATCTATATCTATGATGGACAATTATGCATCCTTCAAAATCTCTGCCATTTGCAACACAAATGAACTTACAAAGTCTTAATACTAAGGGGAAAAAATCATACATAGAAAAACAAATATTGCATAATTTCATATATGTATATTTTGGATTTACTAGAGTTATAAAAGCAGAGTATAATGGTGGTTGCTGTGGTGGAGAGACTGTGGGGCTTTGGGTAGCAGGAGACAAACTTTCAGCTCTAAGATGAGGAAAGTCTGAATATCTCTGTACAGATAGTAGTTAGTTGTGTATTGTATCTTTGAAATTTGGTAAGAGAGATCTTAAATGTTCTCAACATGGAAAAACACTATCATGTGAAGTGACAGATATGTTGATTACATTGATTGTGATAACCCTTTCACATTGCATAGGCATGTCATACTATCATTTTGTACACTTTAAAGATGCAGAGTATGTGCTGATTATATCTCAAGAGAATTAGAAGAAGAAAAAAAAAAAACCTTTAGCAAAGATACTCTTTATCACACCACATCCAATCACAGGTATAATTCAAGCAATTGGAGGAGTAAGCTGCATTTTTTCAAGTCTGTAAGACACAAAGGGTCCTTATTTTTCCTTGGAGGAGCAGTCATTGCTAACTGGTTCTGTGATATTTCACACTTGGTTTTGCTTTTAGTCGTGGTCAGCTTAAACAGCGCTTATCTGGACTGCCTCTTTGAAAGCCTTGAGAATCACGCACACAGGGTTGAATCTGTAAAGCTTAACAGAACTCTCTTCTGCCTATCTGCCTATTACTCATCCCCACGTCTTTTAGCCATTTCATTTTGAGCTCCTTAAGGCAGCACCTGTTTCTAATTTATCACTATTATTCCCAATGCTTAGCATAGAGTCTGATATACAGAATGGAATCTGTAAATGTTTGTTTAATTAAAATGGATAGATTTTGGAATGATTCTGGAAAGATAAACAATATTAACTAGAGGACTTAATCAGTGCCAGCCTCATCTGACATCTAAGCATTTTCCCACTTAAAACTTACAAGCAATCTCAAGAAGGAAGTATCTCCCACCAACATCGTGGAATTAAGTTTTTACAATATTTAAAAGATAGTTTTTCTTATTTTATTTGGAAGGCAAGACACAGGGACAGAGTGAAGCAGAAAGCGAGAGAGAAAGAGAGAGAGATTCCATCTACTGGTTCATTCCCCAATTGCCTGTAACAACCAGGACTGAATCAGACAAAGCCAGGACAGGAGTCAGGAGCTCAATTAGGGTGTCTCATATAGGTGACAAGGAACCAAGTACCTGAACCATTACCTGCTGCCTCTAAGCATGAGCATCAGCAAGAACAGAGACTAGACTCAATATAGGCGCTCCAATAATGGTACACCATGCATTGCTTTAACTGTTTCACCAAACATCCCCACCACAGAGGTGAGAGGTTTGTAGTGTAATCAACTTGTCAAAAGTAAATCATCCTTTTCAGGTCTCACTGTCTACCCCATTTATTTAAGAATACTTCTCCCTTCCTTGGTTATAGTGAAGGTTAAATGAGATATGTGAAAACACTCAAAACCTCATTGGACATAGTAAGCATATATGCTGTTCTGATTACCTCTGTTTCTCAGGATAAATGATACTGAAACCTTTATTGATAGATTTATATGGCATTTAATGAGTGTCACTGATATTCAAAAAGATTATAAAAATCCATACCCCAACTTGCAGATGAGTTACCTCTTGACATGTTGCTTGACATAGTATAATGGTTTAATATATCCCTTTGATTATATTTTTGTTTGGTTTAACTCAGGAAATTGTTAGGTCTGTGGTGGGCAGCTTTGAGCTGCTGGAATCCATACATCATGCTCTAGCCTGGAGCTGAGAACAGCTGGGGTTGCTGTCCCCTCAGAATTTCATGGAATTTTCCCAGTTTCTCTGGTGAACTTTGTCCAAAAAGGAGCAGAGAAAGGCTTTTATAGGGATCCCTTACACTTCTATTACCCAGTCAATTCAGTGTCCCCCATTTCTTTCAAAGTTTATAATCCTGCTGTCAACTGACAACAAGGTGAAAGGCAGGTGCAGGCAACAACTTCACATGTGGGACTGTAAAATTCGTGTCAGTGACTTTAATACCCCAATGTGCTCTTCAAAGCACTGTAAAATGTTACAATTCTTTTGGCCCTCCATGTAAAGTTAAACCCATGTTCCATCCCCCAGGAAGTAATGATTGTCTAGACATTTACACTGTGTCTTTTTCCACCTTCTCTCCCCAAGCTTCAGCCTTGTCTTCTCATAATTGCCCTGTTTTCTTGATGCTGAATTTAGAATCCTGAGCTGTGTCTTCACAGATGAGGCTATGAAAATTATGGGAATGGTTCATTAATTTAAAAAAAATATGTTGATTTGATTTGTCTAGGAGAGACTCAAAGAGAGACAGCTCCTGTTTTTTGCTGGTCTACCCCAAATTTCCTGCAGCAGTCCCAGCTGTGCCGGGAAGAATACAGGAGTCCGGTGCTAATCCTAATCTCTCTAGTGGGTGGCAGGGACCCCACCATCAGGGCCATCACCTGCTGCCTCCCAGGGAGCACACTAGCCGGAAACTGGACTTGAGGATAGGACCAAACGCAGGCAGTCTGATGCAGAATGCGGGCATCCCAAAATCGTACCTTAATTGCTGCGCTAGATGCCACCCCAATTAATTTTAATTGAGTCCTTTGGCTAGCCTGAGCTTCCTATTGAGCATAGAAAGGGGCTGGCAGTAGCATTTCTCATTCTCCAGAGCATTGGGTGAATTGAAGCCAATTTCCTCGGTACCCACCATCAGATCGGCTGATCCCACCCAGAAGCAGACAGTAACTTGGTGCTGGAAATGGGCCCTTCCTCACCCTCCTTGTTGGGAGTTTTCTAGTTTCTTCTTATGAACTAGTCTTCCAAGATTGCATCCTGTCAATGAACTCACACTTGTTCCTTGTCTCTGTGTAAATTGCTATCTTTTCAGAGGTGCCTGACAGCCTCCGTTTGCTTGGGCCTGGGTTGTACAGAAGCTGTTATTATGGAATAAGTTTAATGGGTCGTGCACTTCATGGAGAAAGAGGGGTGTTTCTGGGCGACTTTGTGTGTACCAGTGTAGACCCACAAGACTCCACAAGGAGTGCATTAGGCTAAATATTTTTAGCCCATTGAGTTGAGAGGTAATAACCCTAAATGCTTCATTAAAATTTCACGGGTGAGTGGCAGAAGGTACTGGGGAGGAAAAATCCAAAACACAAATCCACCACTGCACTACAGCTTTATTATGACACAGCTGTGGGGCAGCGGTGTGGCTCCTAAAAGGAACAAAAGTAAACTTTTGCATGCATGTGTTGCCTGCTTTTTTCTTTCCTTTTCTGTTTCTGACTCCCAATATGTAACATCGACCCATCAACCCAGCTCCCTTTCCTCTCCCCCCTCCAGTGCGTGCACATGCAACACACACACACACACACACACACACACACACACACACACACGAGGCTTTCAGTCCTCTAGAGACGGGAATGACACAACAGGCATTTACTGGAATTGAATCCAATCTCAGGGTGGAAGAAATTTCAAATCAATCCAGTATTTTCAGCGATTTCCTTCCTGTTGCAGATTTTCCTAAGCTGGTAACAGAAGCAGAGCGCAGTTGATGGTGCTCTCGGTGGCGCCGCGTCTCCAACGGGTTTTAACCTGAGGATTGTCCACTCCAAACCTACTATAAACCAGGTGGGGAAGAGGGGAAGGAATCGGGACTAACACAGTCTCGAGTGTACCTCCGCGCCTCCCCTGGACTGATAACAATGTGACCAATGCCCTATTCTCTGCCCAATTATGACCGGGAAACCTCCGCTAAGGCACCAGCCTCTAGCAGCACCGCCCAGTTGGACCAGCGCCCCCTCCGGCTAAGGGGCCCGGGGTAACTCGTTCTAGCTGTAGCTCCGCTCCTGGTTTCGCCCACGGGCGCGCTGTAGATTTGGGTATGTGGATGTTTAGCGGCTCCGCGCAAAGAGTAGCGCTGAAGAAAAAACATGAGGACTGCCGGGCGGGGACGGTGCTGGTGGCAGTGATGGTACGGCAATTCTTGGCTACTTGGTGAAACCCTGCCCTCCTTTCCCGCCTTGCGGACGCAGCTGGGGCGGGACCCCGTGCTCTCTCAGCTCTTCCCCCTTCCCTTCGGGATGGGGAGTGAACGAAGGGGCTCCAGAGGCGCGACTGCGAGCCGCGGCGCCCCCGCTCGCTCGCTCGCTCAGTTCTTCCTCCAGCTTGTCGTCACCGCGACTGGGCTAAGCTGTCGGAGCGCTCGAGCGGCGCACTGAGCGCCCCGGCGGGAGAGGGAGCTGCGAGGCCCGGGCGAGGGGCGCGCTGCGGGCGGCCGGGAGCCAGCAGGTGAGAGGCGCCGCGGGGCGCCGGGCCGGCGGGGCGGGGGCTGTCGGAGGAGGTGGGTCTGCGCTGGGGGCGGTCTCCTCCCCTTGCTCTGACGCGAGGCCCGTGGCTCCCCGGGAGGATGCACCGAGCGCCGCGCTAGCGGGGGGCTTCCCCGGGCTGGAGAGCGCGCCTGAGTGCCGCCTCCCGCCGGGCATGGGAGCCGCTTCCTGGCGGCTGTGGCAGCGGAGGATGCTCCAGGCAAGCAGAGGTGAGGCGAGGTGGGGGACTTGTGTAGCCCTGGAGTTCTGCTCCGGCAGGTGCTCTGTGGGAACTGCAAGCTTGGATGCCGTGGGGGTGGCTCCGCTGGGTCCACGGCGTCGGGCACGGAGGAGGGGCCCCCGGGGCGCGCCTCTCGGGAGTTGGGCAAGGGGTGCTGCGGGGATAGCTACTGCAGCAGTTTCTCCGTCCTCTACCTCCACTTGATGGAAGGAAAGGGGACAGCCTCCGCTTCTCTTTCCTGCGCCCCCCGCCCATCCCAACCCCCAGCTCCCTACTTGTGACCACGCGCGATCCTCTCTCCCCACTTGTCCTCCCAAGACCCGTCTCTCCGGGATCCCTGCACCTTCCTCCCTCCTGGCTCTAATTCTTGCCTGAGCTTGCTTTCTCCAACGGCTGCACCTGCCCCTTGCTCCCCAACCACCTCACCGCCTCACGAGTGGCGCCCCGGAGACCAGACGCTCCTACCCACTGCTGGTTCTCACTTTCCTCCACCCCAGGAGCACGGCAGTTTTCCTTCCACCTCTCCTACTGCGCGGGCTTTCCCGTAACCTCAGCCTTTTGCACGGGTGTCCTCGCAGCTGGCTCTGTGGTCCGCGGACCCCCGTGCCTGGTAGCCTCCCTCGGTAGCGCTCCCCAGGGCCGCTACCCGGCTGCCCGCTCCGTGCGCGCACTCTTCCTTCCCTGCCCCCGCGACTCGACAATTGCCTCGATGCGGGAGCTCAGCTTCTTTCTTACTGGGGAAACTTTCAATCTCGGGTGTTCCGTTTCTAAAGGAGCCATAAAGGGGGCTCTCAGCCGCTGAGAGAAGCGGGAATCAGGGACGCCGAGATGAGGGAAGTAGTGTGGCCGCGTCAGAACGGGGCCGCCCGCCGAGTGGGTGAAAAAGTAAATTTCCAAGCCAGCGTGGACGCCCGCAGCCAGGACGGACGGCAGGGGTTGGCTGCGGCAGCGGCGGGTTATTGTGACCCCTGGTGGGAGGGCGCGGCTTTTCTCCTACTTTTAAAGGCTTTTATGCTTTATTGTTTTTCTTTTGATGGAGTCGCGGTAAAGGACGGGAGGGCGGCTGGGGCACCAGAGAAAGACGCCTAGCGAGTCCCAGGCCACTTGGCGGCCGCGGTGCCTGCCTGCGGACTCTCCAGACTAAGTAGGTTTCCCTCCGGGTAGACCGCCCCCGCCCCCCACTGGCAACACACAAGTCCTCATTGTTGGGGGTCTGCGGGGGCACTTCCGCCGGGCCGCGCGGGGTGGGGGCGGGGAGGCGGGGGCACCGGGCGCGGCAGGGAGAGCTCCGTGGCGCGGGCATCGGTGCGCTCCGCTGCGTGTCGCCCAGGCTGGGGGCGCGTCCGCGAGGCTCCGAGGCTGCGTGAGCGTGGGTTCAGCTGCGTTAGAAAGAGGAGCGAGTTGAGAGCCGGCTGTGGCCGGAGCGCCTTTTCTCTGCCCTGGTGGAGCTGTGGCGGCTGAGCCCTCTTTGGAGACGGGTGCTGCCACGCAGCTCCATCGGGACCGCGTGCTGACCCGCGTGCTGACGCTTACTCTGCCTTGCCTCTAACCCCCCTCTGCTCCCTTCCTGCTGGCGCACTTTCACAATGTTGATGGTTTTTGAATAAAGGCCTTGTGGGGGTTCCTTTGACACTTCACAACACTTACCATATTTTCAAGTAATCATATAAATTAAAGGTGGCTTACGTTCAGAACCCCCTAATTATCCGGTTCACGTTTGTGCATTTATGTGCCAATTATAGGTCTTTGGGAAATCCATAACATTATCAACTGTCCCCACCCCCTGAATTAGCACCCATTGTTTTAACATCTCAAAGATGAGTGAGTGTGATGGAACCCCGCGCAGCTTAAGCAGGAGCCCTGGGTAGGGGGAAGGTTGGAGTAACCCCCTCCACAGCCCATCCCTTTCTCTCCCCATCTTGTCAAGGCTTGAGGACAATGCTGGAAACTGAAAAGGATCAAAGAATTTCTTGATTTCCTATTGAGGAGGGCGACCTAATCAAAGCTATATAAAAGTCAACTTCCAAGCAATCAGAAATTGTCTACTGATGTCCTTGATTGAAATCCCAGCATTCAAATGGAGTATTAAAGAACACGCAGAGAAGGGTTTTGAAGCGCTATTGTTCTTTTCCATACACAGAGGCCCTCTTAGAGGTGTAGGAAGTTCAAAATGCAGACTGGCAAGGTAACTAATTGGCATTGGTTGGCAGCATTGCGGGCATGAGGGAAGAGGCCAAGGTAAGAAGCGCAAGTGTGCAGTAACTGGGCTCCCAAGTATGGATTCAGTTCTGCACATCAACTTGGCAATTAAATCTCTTCCGAAAGCAGATTTATGAAGATGATTTTTCATGGACTCAGTTTTTTTTTTTGACGGTTTGCGTAAGGTCTGAATAGGCATATCTGAAACATTTAATCATGCTCATTGTATTCAACAATAAAATCTGAATAAAAATTACTTATTGTTGATGAAGCTCATCTCACAAGCTGTTTCACAGTATGTTTCATTTGCAAGACACACCATTGTGCGAAGCTGCCAGGAGGAGATCATATCACTTATTGTTCATTTTCTCCGCCCAGACGGGAGAGGAATGTGCTGTTCTGCTGGCGCTCCCCTTTGCCCTGCGAAGTGATTTCTCTTGAGCAGGGCGGGAGTCTGACTTGGTACCTCCCAGGACCCATCTCAGATACTGCGCTGGGTGGATTTTAGATGCTGGGAGCCACCCTGCAGGCAGACCAATGTAATTGAAGCAGCGTTTCATTCCGGTAATTCACTCAAGTCAAACATTTTGTTTTTGCTGCGATTTAATCCGTTTCTCAAGCTAATAAAGAAGACAAAGCAAGAAAATCACAGTTTATGTCTTTTAGATGGCACTTGAAAAAATGGCACATTGAAGGGTGTTGTCAGGAACTTGAAGTGTTATTTAGGATTCTCTGTAATGGAGAACGTACACTAGTTGAGTGTGGTGCCTGAGGCGTAATCATGGACCCTCTCAAAACCTCAGTTTCCTCATTGCAAAATGGGCACAATACTAGCTACCTGGGGGATCTTTGAGCAGTTTTCCAGGGGAAATCCAGTCACCGAGTGTTCCAGCACCTAGTGTTAGTAAACAGAAAGGATGGCATTTGGAATTAGAATACTGGGGTGAACCCAGCTACTTCTTGGTGATGTCTGGCAAGTCACGCTTACGTAGTTACAAGAATAATTGACATAGTGCTTGCTAGGAGTCCCGTAGGCTGCCCAGCACTTTCATTAAACCAAGGAAGTGAAATCTTCTCATTCCATCTGGAAGAGAGGGAAGTTGTAGCAACAGGGAGCTTTGGTAACTTATGTGAATACCTTGAAAGTAAGGAGTGGAAACAGCACTGAAACTCAAGCTCTGTGGTTCCAGGTTCTAACCTAACCGTGATATTAGCCTGCCTCTGAGTCGGGAGGTGATCCTGGCTGCTTTTCAGGATGGTGATAACATGTACTGGAGGATAATGACATAGGAAGACTTTCTGTAGGAAGATGCTGTGTATTTGTTCCCATTGCTTTATTGTGAGCAGTTCAGTTGGACTGATGCAAAACATTGAACACTTGGGACTTGGTGACTGTTCCTAGTAGGTCTTGGTTGATATTGGTACACATGTATCTACTCTGCAGAGATAGCCATTAATTAAGTAATTAATGAGTAATTGGAGAATAATTAATTAGGCAGTCAGGATGACCAAGACTGTAGTACAGCTGTTGTCTGTTACAAGCCTTGGTAAATGGAGATTCTCAAGCTGGGAGGTGGTGTGGGGTGGCGGGGCTGGGCAGTAGTAGAAGCTGGTATCGCCATCAGCATCTCCAGGTCTGCAGGCTGTGTAGCCTACATCAGCTCCTCTCAGCTTCTCTGGGTTTTGATGTTCTTTATAATAAAAGAAGCACCTGCTTCACAACATTGTTTGGCAGAATACGGACCTCACTCAAAATGCTTAGAACAGTGCCCAGCAGATACTCTTTTGGCATCTGACAGGTTTTTTTTTTTTTTTAAAATCAGGGATGTTCTGAGATTTAGGTACCCTAATGCCTGTTTTGCTTTGTTGTTATCCAGCAGAAAGGGAGGAAGATACATGTATGCAGACTTGTGTGTGTGTGTGTGTTAGAATTTCAAAGCTTTCCTTTTAGTTGATTTTGTTGGAAATATTTTCTTGCATACTTTCATTCATTATGAAAAGGAATTGTAGACATGCGCATCATGCTAAAGTCTCCATGCTGGTGTGATTTTCAGCACTTGTTTTTAGGAAAATAAAGTGACATTGGTTTTAACAGTGGTTTAGTCAATTATCCCAATTTCCAGATTGGCAAGAAAAGTCCTGTTGAGAAGATATGTAATATACAACAGAGGGCACCAGAACACTCTCAAATCCCTGTGCTCCTTTTCTAGTGATTCTTCCTCTTAAAAAATATTTATTTTATTTGAAGTGCCGAGTTACAGAGAGAGGAGAGAGAGAGGGCAAGACAAAAGATCTTCCCTCTGTTGTTGGTTCACTTCCAAAATGGCTGTAAGATCCAGAGCTGTGTCAGCCTGAAGCCAGGAGCCAGGAGCCAGTAGCTTCTTCCAGGTCTTTCATGTAGTTACAGAGAACCAAAAACTTTGGGCCATCTGCTGCTGTTTTCCCAGGTGGGTTAGCAGGGAGCTGGAACTGATGCCGTATGGGATGCCAACACTATAGGTGGTGGCTTTACGCACTAAGCCACAGCACTGGACTCATTCCTTCCTTTTGACAAGCTGTGCCCTATGACAGGACAAAGAAGTGACTAAATGACTTGCACTTGGCCATAAAGCTTGGTATGTAAGTGGCTGTCAGGCTATCAAACAGGAGCCGATCAGATATTCCAGATTAAAAAAAAAACAGTATTAGTAGGGAAAAAAGTAACACCATAAACTCCCTGAGTTATACATTTCTATCCTTGAAAAATTGCAGTGGACTCAATCTGAAATGCATGCAAGAATATAAGCTGTG